GGAGCAAAAAATGTGGGACGTAGACAACCGTATTGAACACAATATTGAACCAATCATAATTCACTTTGATGATAGCGGTAGCAACAGTGACGAATCTGAGGTTGAAGATTAGACGAAAATTTGTACATTTACATTTATATTATATTCTATTATCAAAAATGTGTAATTTGTATTTTCTAGTACCCCTGACGATGAGTTTAAGTTACTCGAAAGCTTGAGAATAGTTATATATATAGGAATATATATATATTGTGTTTTTTATTAATATTGTTAATTTATTTGGTACCTACTATAATTACCACGATTATTACTCCGTTTTCATAAGGCCCACCTAATGACTACAACGATTAGGTAAATTACGATATTGCAAAGTTTTAATGAAATAAATAAAAAATGTGTATCAATATTTTAACTAATTGTACTAAGAATTTTTCTTTCATTCTTAACCCTCTCAAAAATTAATAAGCACGCCCCCGATTTGCTGTCAACTGGGCTTACTTTTACTCTCAATCATTATTGGTTTTAGTATAGAAATAAAATCTGGAAAAATTTATGTGTCCCAACTTACCTTCACAAAAGGTTTTGGTAAAATCAGGCATTTACCTTCAATGGTACATACATTTTAAATAATTTCTCACGGTATGTGAAGTGTTTAGATACGTTTCCATATCGAAAATTTTGTAAATCGAAAGTTAGGATTTATATAATGACATACCGTCAAATACGCTTGATGACAGTTAATTTTGAACTATAAAGGAAAATACATATTCACCTTACCGTCATTTAAATGTGTATGATGACACCACTGCTATTTATCAATAACACTCTCACTACTAATTTTAATTTTGCAGTCCATTCCTTTTTCATCACAGTGACATAAACTCGTGAAATTTTGACAACTCGAAACGTGAAAACAAAGTTGATGAACTGAAACTGTTACTTAGCACCGATAAGCCCAATACACATCAACTTTGGGTAGAATTAATTTTAGGTACAAGGTAATTCATTTCAACAGCCAAAGGAAGATATACCTATATAGGTAGAAAGTGGGATGAGAAATGCATATAATAATAATAATGACATAGTTTTGGTAAACATTGCTTTTTTGAGAAATCATAGTCAGCACATCAAAAACGTAAGTCCTTCCATCACTTTCACAATGGAGAAGGAAGTCCACAACGAATTGTCTTTCTTAGACGTATTGGTGAAGAGTACCGACACTAAATGGGAAACATCGGTTTATCGAAAACCCACTCACACAGGACAGAATTTGAACCAGAAATCCAACCACCATCAATCGACTAAGAGAGGAATCATCAAGACTCTACTAGACCGTGCTTTCGAGCTCTGTAATATAAAGGAAGGTATCGAAAAAGAAATAAGCATCATTAAAAATGACCTTCAACGGAATGGTTACTCCAGAGTGATGGTAGAACAGGCTTTAGCTAGAAGACAGCAAGAGCTTCACAGGGAAGAGAAACCACCACAACCAGTACTTGTACTTCCCTACATCAGATGATTATCGGAAAGGATAAGAAGGATTGGGTCCAAGTATAACATCAGGACCTGCTTCAGATCTGGAAACACTATCCGTAGGAGCCTCACAAAAACCAGGCCAGCAAACGCGGACTGCGATTCCAAGAATTGCATTTTCATCTCATCAATTGTATACAGTGGAAGTTGAATTGGCACAACGTCGTTTCCTAAAACTTCTCTCCTATAGATCAGACAATATCTATCCACCAATTGGATTTCCCCATGTTGCATTGTTAGCTAGACATATGCTATGAATAGCTTGAGTTGCCGTCGTGATTGTCACTCCACGATTTTTCTTTTCAAACTGATTGATAATTCAATTATTGACCCACATATTCAACAAAAATTAATTTCAATGTACCTAGACCAACCTCTAGAGTGGTTAATCCTTTTCATCTGCCAACACCACGTACAAATATTCTGAAACGTTCACCTCTGTATAATATGTGTGTCAAATGCATTTTTTACTGTTCCATCTCTGAGATTAGGACTTTTTCTTCAGCTAATTCTATATGTATTGTTTTATCTTATAACTTATTGTAATTGTATTGCATTGTGATTTGAATTATATCCGTATAGTGAACGTATGGCTTGTTCAGAGTAATCTGAATGAAATTTCTCCAACTACACCCTAAGACAGAATTATTTTAACCATACCTGCATAATCACAATAATATCAAAGAGCAATTTTAGGCGTTTATGCTGCACAATTGCACCATTTTTATCATGTTTCCAAGTTGGTTGTTTATTACTTATTTCCGTGACATAGTCAAGTGTAGAATATTACTGTTATACTATTATAGCTCGTTTCGTTTTGACAATAACAAACGTGCAAAGTGTATGAGTATGCTAATTCATAAACGATTTAGCAAATATTCATAACCAATGCTTACATGAATTTCCTGCACATGACGTAGACCAGACATCCAAAGGGTCAAAATAGACGATAAGTTTGACTGAGAATTTCCTAGGCTAACAGGTTTTTTTTATAAAATTTGATTTCAGCTTTCAATATAGGTGCCTATGGGGCGATACAACAATTATAGCAGTCATAAAATTTTTTGGTATCATTTTTATAGTACAATTTGCCTTTAGCCTCAAAATAGGCCTCAGTTCCGATGCCTTCCTCTTCATTGGCGCGAATTTGCTATCGTTTCATTTGATAATAGGAACATTGAAACTCCTATTCTTTTCTCAGATCTGCCAGACTTTGGACAACTTTCCAGCAAAACTGTCACAGAAGTGCTCATGCTTGAAATGAAGATGTCTCCAAATGCCAAGACCTATCTTGTGTCTGGCTATCCAAGGAATATGCGCGATGTGGTGGAGTACTCAGAAAAGGTAGGAGCTCTAATAGTATTATTATTTCGAAATAAGTGCTTTTTTGATCAAGTTTAATCAAATTCAACGATTCATTTCCTACAAGGCTAATATAAGAAGCCAGAACGTCGATTCACATTTTCTGTTCAATTTATAACTGTTGCATATAATTTTCGCCAAATTTGTTCACAAAGAAATGCCAGAAATTTATTAGTTGTGAACTATTTGTGTTGTATAACGACGAATTTCCACCAAACGGATATATTTTTGAAAATAAAGTTTGTGAAGATCAAATCAAAGGTATAGTCTATAAAATATTGTCCATTTGTGGAAATTCGCCTCAATAGACTTCCAACCGTGAATAAATTTGGAAATAAAAACATTTCAATGTTGAACGACAGTAATACGCCCTCAATTTGATATATTTTTCTCTGCACATTCAATGCTTAAGAGCATAGAAGTAGTTTTGTAGAGAGACCAATTCCACATTTGCAAACCACCTTTTAGCAGAAGGACATGAGTTCAATCATCTGTTCAGTCTGTAATAGTTCCATCTTAGATTTTCAGTATGTCATAAGAAACTATTCCACAGAATCACTGCACTTTGTATCTTGAACCAGGCAAGGCTCCATCAATCGTAGGTTTATCTGTGGTAATCGACTGTATCATGAGTTGGATATTCGTTGCAGTTCAATATAAATCTATGAACATCAAAAATACCCCCTAACAAACATTGTAAAACATGTTGAGAATATTTTAAAGTACCTATTACTGCATTCCTATGATGTTCACCATCATTGTGTATCTCTGTTTCAGATACAAATGGTTCAAGGTGTCATCTTGATATCGTGGAGACAGAAAGTTCTGGAAAAACAAATTGAATACGGTGCCAAATTAGGTCAAGTTGTTTTATCGTTAGCTCGTATGGAACTCAATAATTTTTACAAGAATGTCGTACCAGTTGCCGAATATTTCGACCAAAGCAATATGATGATATCGGTGAGTATTTCTTCACATTTTCACAAATGTACTGTCCACTTCGCGAAACACAACGAATCACCAGTCTCTCTGCGCTAACAAATAAGTTTTATAGTCACAGTAACTACGATGTCTCAGGCCTTCTTACAGGTCACTGTCATTTGAATCGTCACATGCAGTAAGCCACAATAAACCCTTATGGGTTGCGGTGGAGGGTCGAATAGACCCACTCACTTTAGACCTACCTACCTACCTATTAATCAAATGCACCACGAAACATTGTCAACCACTTTTAAACGAATCATGAAAGACCTGTTATTTTTAAGCGAATTTTGTGTAGAAGAAGTTGGTGACCAATTTATTGTATTGTTTGTTCTAAATGAAGAGTATCGATTACAAAGCGCACCTTTTTTATGTAGGACCCAGAGAAGCGATAATATTATACAAGTTGAACCAGTATGTATTTTTTTCTGTCAACTCGCAAGTCTGATAGTTATTTGTTTATTCACTTTACTCCATCGTGACTGCGATATCGCGTGTTAACGAAAACTTCTAGTTCGTTTACAGGAAGCGTCTACATGGTATGACAAACCCCTCCGGAAAACTCTTCATTGAACACGTTTAATGATTTGTTATTTGCTACAATTTGATTCAATATGAATTTACTTGAAACAGCTTTGTGTGACTCGAACGATATATTCTGTCATGCAGGGGGTAAAGTTTCGGGTATGATTTCCATATCAGAATTAGTCCCCCTAGAAATAAAAATTGATGTGTCCTTTGAAATTTTCGATTACACGTCCGTTTCTGACTTACAGGGCGTCAATTTTTCTTTGGAACGCCCTATATAGTTTATTAAGCAGGAATTCTGACATACATATAGCCGATTTGAGAATTGACTCATTCAACATACCTAGGCAGCGTACTTCCAAATTTGGAGTATCTTTTTCTTATATTGCTCCTTGCTATCTGAATGAAATTTGGCGCTTTATATATCATAATATTCATTAATTCAGGGGAGAAATGAAATCACAGCTGCTCACTGCTCAATGCTAATTTAAGATGTAATGTATGGTATTGTAATGAAATCGTTGAATTGACCAATAGAATGTTAACCCAGGTCTGCAGAAAAAACTTTATAAAAAATTGTTTTTATTTCGTTAATCGATCTTCATGTGGTTTCTTTGCGCTGATTTCAAAAATGACATTTGTTTTTATCTATCACGTAATTTTTATTTTTATATTTTTAGGATATAAGCGCTTGAGTTCGTATNCTGTTGCACAGTAGATGCTTTCAACTGGTGTTGTACAGAAAGCACCTAAAGATATTCGTAAGGCTTTGTTGTGAATAGTGTCGAGTAACTTGAGTGTTGTCTTCTTCGCCGAGTTGTATGCAATACATCCAAAGTCCATTTTAGATCTGATGAGTGTTCTGTAAACGTGCAGTATTGTTTGACCGTCAGATCCCCACTCTTTATGTGCTAACGTTTTCAACATATTCAGTCTTCTGTTACACGATTCGGCTAGGCTTTCAATGTGTGCATTCCAATTCAGTTTGTCATCAAATATCATACCCAGGAACTTTATGGTTTTGACATATTTAAGATTTTGCCCATATAGGTAGAGGGGTGGTATATTGGCCATTTCTTTTTTAGAGCAGAGAATGCATTGTGTTTTTCCTGTTGAGAAAATGAATCCAGTTTCATTGGACCAATGCTCTAGGTTCGAGAGTGTCTAAATTTTTGTTTTTGCAGAAGAATACCAGGTCATCCGTATGAAGACGTGCTTTCATTGGTGATTTATTTTATTTTAGAATGTCATTCATGGCGAAAAAGGAACAGAGTTGGGCTAATGACATATCCTTGTGGGGTACCATTTTCCAGTGTGTGACTGCTCGGGTGAGTTTCATTTGTTCTGACGCGAAAAGTTCTTACTTTCAGAAAGTTCTGGATGAAAGCGAAGCAGTGCCCTTTTATCCATGAGTCTAGTATTCTCATTATACGGTATCGCCATGCAGTATCAAATGCTCTTTTTATGTCAAAAAAGATGGCCAAACATTTCTGTTTTACTGCTAGTGCTTCATAAATATCGCTTTCTAAATCTATAATATTGTCATTGGCAGATCGATGTTGTCTAAAACCGCTTCGCTCGGGGGTCAACAGATTACGGTGTTCAAGGGTCCAGAGCAGTCTTCTGTTGATGATCTTTTCTAGGATTTTTCACATCACACATGTGGGAGAGATCGGTCTATATGAGTTACGATAGATTTTTGATTTACGTGCTTTGAGGATGGGAACAATTATCGCCTCTAACCATGCTGATGGGAATTTGTGTTCTATCCATATTATGTTGTATATGCGTAAAAGAAGTTCATGTGCAGTATGTGGGAGATTCTTCATGAAAATTACTGAGATCTCATCGGGGGCGTGACTTGTATTATTGAACACTGAGAGGGCATCTTCGTATTCTTCTTCACTTATAGGCATGTTCAAGGGGTCCTCATAGTCTATGACGATGGGTATTTCAACTGCATCTTCATCACGTTTTTTTCCAAGAATGATTCGTCATAATGGCCACCTTTTTCCATACTTCGGTCATAGGTGTTAGCTATTGATACTCGAAATGTACTGTCTCCATGAAGTCCTCTTATCATTCTTGGTTGTTACTTTCGATAATGCTCTGAGTTTTTCAAACTCAATTATATTTCCTGTAGTTTTGTATCGCTTACATTTGTTGAATGCTCTTGATTATCCATGTTTCTCGATTGCGTTATTCCAACTATGGGTGACATACGATAAAAGGTCGCCTGTTAATCTTCGTTTGCTCAAGATGTTGAAGCCTTCCAAATATTTAAGGATATAGTGGTTTACGAATTTTTCGATAATTTTTGATATCACTGATATCAAAGCCATTGGTCTATAGTTTTTTGGTAGATGTACGATGTAGACGTCCCAAAGAGGCTGTTAGCGACGAAAACATCAAAGAAGTCCACAAAATAGTTTTGGATGACCGCAAAGTGAAGCTGGAGCTCTGAAGATATCAAAGTAACGTGTTGGACATATCGTTGCATGAATATTTGGGTACGCGAAAGCTCTGTTCAAAGCGGATGCCACGCGACCAAAAACAACAACGATTTGATGATTCTGAACAGTGTTTGAAGCTGTTCCACCTTGAGAAACATAAATGTATGCATCGATATGTCACAGAGGATGAGTGGACTGCACATGGTGAACCGATTCTAAGGCATGCAGAGACGCAACAGTCGGCTGGCAAGGTATCAGCATTTTGGGATGCTCATGGAATGATATTCATCTTGAAAAGGAAAAAAACATCAACAGCGACTGTTACATAGCATTATTGGAGCATTTGAAGGACGGGATCGCGAAAAAACGACCCTATTCAAAATCAAAATCAAAATGTTCTTTATTGACTATTCTCCATACAATTTTAAGGTATTTTTTTGTGGTGT